AATAGATATAGGCGCCTCGGGTGCATTCCCACAACATCTGGAGCCGCACTTGAAGACCATCGGCATTGACAAAATCACCACCAGTCAATTGCAAAAGGCAGCTTTACTTGGAACACCTTATATCCTGTGACAAAACCTCTTGACACCATTCCCAGGTCTTTGGGAAGGACTCAATAGGTGGATAAAAATGCCAAATCCATTCTAAACATCTGGCTGACCAACCATAACAATAATAATAATCTGATAACACAACACATAAGCTCCTCTAATCACTGTAGGGCCAAAAAGCCCATGGTAGTAAGACTGTTTTAGGGCCTTCCTGAATGCAAGGATGGTAGGTGTTAATCACACCTCCTGGTATATCGCATAATATGGAGGCTACTACCAAGAGAATCTGACTCCCAGTCCACATCCCCTTATGGAGGTAAAACATACAAGGGGATATTTACTTATCAGTTTCTATCTTCTCCAGCCTGGATGTCCTCCAGGTATGCAGACTTCAATTCCCAGAATTCTCAGCAAGTGCTGTGTTTTCTGGGGAATTCTGGGAGTGGAATTCCACACATCTGGAGTGTCCCATAATTGGAGAAGTTGGTCTTGACAGTAAAAGCTATTTAATAACTAAACCCTAATTATGCACTGGAGTAGGTAGAGACATTCAAGCAGAGATTAACCATCCATCTTTTGCCAATGACCTTGCTTAGGTTTCCTACCTAGGCAAGACTACATGGACTTCCGAGCCTCTTCCAACTCTTGGGGTTCTATCTAGTCTGACATCTTGCATCTGACAGTGGCATGAAGACAGTATCTGTCCCCTGTGCAGCTTGGGAATAGCTGGTTTCTGTGGATCAGAACATCAATAGCCCCATCCTTTCTCTAGGGTGGCTTCATCCAAGCTTCCTTCCCTTTCTTGGTCAGGAATGAACCTATCTCAGAACTGCAGTCCTTTGGTCTTGTCCATATCAGTTCCCTGGAACAGTTGTCATTAACACTACATAAGCTTACAACTAAGCCAGCACCCCGAGCCACCCATCAAGCTCACCTCTCTTATCTACGGCTTGGATGTTTGCGTGATTGGCCACCAGCTCTTCCACCATATTTTCGACCCCAAGCCGCGTGGCAAGAATGAGTGGGGTGGTGCCATCGTCCGCCAAAGCATCCAGGTCTGTCTGTCTGTGCCGGAGAAGGATCTGATGGAGGCAATTTCACCATCAGTAGATGTCAGAGCAAAGACAAAATGGAATAGTGAGAGATGAAGCTTTACTGATAAACCACCTTGCCTCAGTGGCATTTTCAGCAAATTGTTCAGTTTGGCATTTCTTCTGTTTGGGAAATCAAAATAAACCTGCCACAAGCAAGTTTTCTCACTGCCTGCCCCACTGCCCAGTCTGCAGGATGATCTTGGAGGAAGTGCAAATAATGTAGCTTTTTCCTATGTTTAGATGGCTAGAGAATGGCCTTATCCTCATAAAACAAATACCAATTTACTAGGCCAATGATATGGCCTGGTATTGGGGCATCTGCAATGCATGAAAAAGGGGTGGGGCTTCAACTGAGCAGTCACAGCTCTCAACTTGACTTGTTTGGCCCCCACCCCCTCCTTAGTATATGGCCATCCTAAAGTCTGGAAATTGTGTTTTTCAAGAAAGTTCTTTCAAGATTCTTAGGAGATGGATTGAATGCCCAAGGGCACCATCATCAGCTCTTCTGTGCTCCACCAGAAGCAGAACTTGGGCAAAAAACACATCCATGAGTAAATGACCAACTTGTGAAGCATTGGCCTCGGGGACACAGGAAGGGGGAACGTGTAAAAAAACATCACACTTTCCTGAGAAAGAGGAAGTGTGAGGAAGAAACTCAAAATAACCCCACTGGTTTTATTTAGTATAAGATGGGACAGAGAGAAACTTAGAGAAGCTTTCAAGATTGATATCAGCCCTCTGGGGTTGGCCAGATCAAATAACAGACACCACAAGGTTTCCAGGAGAGCTACTTTATTGTTGTAGGATATTAACAACAGAATCTGGAAAGCCTGACCAAGTTTCTCTCTGTCCCATATTAACCTAAACAAAATTAGGTGGGATTATTTTGACTTCTTTGTTATGTTCTCCTCTTTTCAGGACAGTGTAATCTTTTCTGCAGATCTCTCCTTAAGGGCTTGTTCAATCCTTTCCTACCCCAAAGACTAGCAACGCATTCCTTTACACCAGTGCTTCCCAAACGTTTTCCTTTATTACCCAAATTATGGGTTGTAAATGCGAGCTAGCTGTTAAGCACCTGAATTTTGTTCACATGACCACAAGGGTGCTGCAACTTCAAGGACCAGTCACAAGTCCCTTCCTTCAGCACTGTTGTAACTTCAAACAGTTGCTGAATGAATGGTCATAATTCGAGGACTATTTACATTATAAAAACAATATCACTGAATGATCTTTATGTCATTTCAACAAATTACCATTGGTCATTTCATCGATTTTCATCTTAATAGGAATACTTTGGGAGATTTTTCAAATATATTTTAGTACACCTGGCAATCTTTAAGTCAATTTAAATGGCTTTGTTGTGATTGGGTAATGGGTTTGTGTGTCATTAACCCAAAAAAACCCCACTTTTACCCAATTTGGGGTAATTTACCTAGGTTTGGGAAGCACTGTTTTACACCAACGCATCATGCCAATATTAAGGCAATGTTTCTCAACCTTGGCAATTTTAAGACCTGTGGAATTGAAGTCCACATATCTTAAAGTTGCCAAGGTTGAGAAAAACAGGTCTAAGTTATCCTTTTTCCTCTCTCCCAGCCTTCACTAGAAAACTTTACTCTGGATGTCCCTCCAGCAGCCTCTGTGTTAGACAATGTGCCTTTTTCCCCTCTTTTTCTGACCTGGAATACCCCCAGAGCATCAGCTGCTATTGCACTATGCAAGGGGGTCCGTCCCCACTGGTCCCGGGCATTAACATCAGCTCCAGCTGTCAGGAGTCTGCGGGCAGCATCTGCACGGGAGTATCGAGCAGCTAGGTGAAGAGGTGTCTCCCCAGAGTTCTCCGTCTGCCTGTCTGTCCAGGAGCTCTCCATCTCCAACCCAGAAGAACAAGCCAAGGGCATCGGTGGGGTCAGGCCACAAACTGGAGGCATAAAAAGACCACAGGTGAAAAAAAGGAGCAGAAAGGCAGAGGTTTGTCTACCATCACACATGAAGATCAGATGGGCTACTTTAGCTTGGTTTGCAATCTCTAGCCAACCTTGGATGATCCTGAAAAGATAGCAAGGTTGTTTCTCGAAGAAGACCAGGAATCTGACTTTATTGTTGTAGGGTATAATCAGAAACCTGAAAGACTTTCCCTCTGCCCCCTCTTATATTTTTATTTTCTTCCTCACATTTTCCCTTTCCCAAGACTGAGTTGGCTCTTATTTGTTCTTAACTGTTTCTGCAGCCCTTCATCAAGACTGTCTCTCCATTCCTCTACATCTTATCAGTGCATGGATGAGACACCACCAGGAGATTCCAGGGCTGTGGGCTAGACTAGAAATTGAAACAGTATCCTCGAACAAGGGTATGGCAAACCATTTCCATATTCTTGTTAAAAAGTTTTCTTTGAAGAGATTCCCTTTAATGCAATCAGTGACTGGAAACTGGTGATAAACTGCAACTCCTGGCATCTCTTACTATTGGTAACAACATGATTGAATAGCAACATGATTGAATAGCATCTGGACAGCTGGATTAGATAAATACTGTACCCACCACTGCATTAGATGAATACCTGGATGAACATCTGATATAGGTACAGAGACCATATATCCTTTATAATAAAAGATGGTCCTTTATTTCAGAAGGCTGTCCTTTAGATGGATTGATTTTTCAAAAACTCACTTTTGTCTTTTATTTTGGTCATTTAATTTTTACCGTACAAATGGTACCACTGATTACACACGTTTTCACATTCATGGGAAAAATATGGAAAGGGAATTGTCTTTTTAAAATACATTGACCTATACTGTTTGATTTTAGATATTTGTATTAGAATGTGCATTTTTGTCAAGTTTTTCTTGGTTCTGCTCTTAAATTTTCCTTTGTAAAGCAACGTTATAAACATAAACAATTAAATTTTTTTATCCTTATGAACTTCTTTCAGATTTGCCCCTTTTTCAGGCTTGTCCTTTATTTTTTCCAAGGAAATATGGTCCCTGTAGTTATAGGAGAAAGGGATGGCAAGAAATTTCAGCTATAAAGTTTGTCTTCCCATTGAAACTGACTGAAGATTATTAGGGTTTAAGGTGGCTGCCAAGGTTCATATTCATTAATGCTGCTGTTCCTTGGAGTATTTTTTGTTGCCAGTGTTAACCAATCATGCAGATTGTCCTTCAATGCATTTTTTCATATGTTAATCATTCATTTCTTTATATTGGATTCCTGAAATTTTGCTGATCTTATTTCAGTTTTGCTTAAGCTCCTTAGAATGTATGATATTTGTGGAGTCCTTGGGGTTTTCTGAGCTTGGCTGTTTTCTTGCAAACGTTTCATTACCCAACTAGGTAACCTCTTCAGTGCTAGAATGGAGTGGGGGTTGCTCTGTTTATATACAGTGGCTTGTCCTGCCAGTGTTGCTCTGTGTGTGTGTTGAGTAAACTGCTCAAGGAGTAAACAATATCCTAATCAAAGAACGACCAGGACAGAAAACACACACACACACCCCAACACTGGCAAGCCACTGTATATAAACAGAGCAAACCCCACTCCATTCTAGCACTGAAGAGGTTACCTAGTTGGGTAATGAAACGTTTGCAAGAAAACAGCCAAGCTCAGAAAAC